TGTTACATCTAAAAATCATAAATGTTAACATTTTCTGATCTCTGCCAGATGGGAGTCATGTTTGCAGGTCCAAAAAAAGTGAGAAATGTTTGAAGACAGCTGGAAATCCATTCACTCACTTCTGTTTTGGCACATAGTGCAGATAAACCTTGAGGACTGCTGGAAAAAGCATTCTCCTGTAGCTGACAGTCTGTTTCTGGATGGATAGGCTGTTTACAAGTCTTGACCTAAGCATGCATAAGGGTAAGAATAAGTATGTAAACAGTATGAGTGATCCATGTGACTAATTTGTTGCTAATGAAATGCTTAATCATCACCGTTGTGTCTGATCCAACAGATGCTGGATGCTGCCAGTAAGTATCATTTATATATAACATTAACAGATATTTAGTGTAAAAGATTGTATTCCATTGAAACTCTTTAGTCTCAGTTTGTATAACGAAGGCAACATTTATTTAATGAAGAAAATTAATGTTAATGAAAGTGACACATGCTCATCCATCATCTGACAGGAGATGATGTAGAGGTGTGTAGGAAGGAGGCCTTTCAGGAGCAGCCTGCAGCTGCTCGGACAGCTAATCCTTCCTTGGTTGCACTGGGGAGTGTGAGCGGTGGTGGCACGTATGATTTTTTTCTGGTAGCAGCATGTTCCTCCAGTACATTTCTTGTTAACAGAGCATGCACGGACTGACAATTCTGTGTAGGAATGGTACTACGTACAATCATATGACAGATGAACAGCTCTCCCATGCAACCAGATTAGCGTTATCTCCATCTTTGCTGAGAGCTAAGACCTCACCGAGTTACTTAGTATGTGTTGTCTCACCCTTTAAATAAGTTAAAGTTACATATGCTGTCATACTCATGGCTCACAGCACACATGAACAGATTATGGGTGTTTGCAAAGGTGTGATATTCTCTGAATGTCTTTTAAAAAGGGATCTACCCTTGGAGAAGCAGAAAGTTGGTACTTAAGGAAGTGTTTGGTCTAGCGATAGGGGAGGCCTTGCTCCCAGGCTAGATGAAGGGTGCTTCTACTAACCTGAATGAAGGCAGAGACTTTTTAATGCTCACTGGTCAGTGATGCCCTATTCTTTTTCCCCCTATTCTTTCCCCTTCAACAAAATTTTAATGAAATGAGCAGGAAATGTACTCTGCTACTTAAAAGCTCAATGTACTCTGCTTACTTAAAAGCTCCTAGTTAGCGTGTTCCATTGCTGTTATTTCAACACCAAGTGAAAAGCAAAGCAGGCATGGTTTCTGTACAGTTTTCTACAAGGGAACTGCAAAGAGACAGGAAAGTGTGATTATCTACACCATTTTAAAATGGCAATGGTTTGTGAAACACCACTTGCTTCAGTGTCTGTGGCCAGGGAGATCAAACATTGCAGTAACTGTCTGATTTAGAAGAAATCCTATCCTATAAGACATTCAACTACATTGCTATTAGGGTCTGTAACTGTACCAAAAATAAAAAATGGGGATTTGATTAGTGAAGTTTAAGTAATTAATTCTTTTTCCTTGTGGTTTTTCATACTGCAGAATTTGAAGGTAATATGAATTTTAGAATGTTACTCTCCTCAGTGGATTGCTTCTTTCCCTCCCTGCTTATAACTGTTTTAACTTCCTGTCGTGGTTTAACCCCAGCTGGCAACTAAGCCCCACACAGCTGCTCGCTCACTCCCCCCTGGTGGGATGGGGGAGAGAATCAGAAGAGTAAAAGTGAGAAAAATAATGGGTTGAGATAAAGACAGTTTAATAGGTAAAACAAAAGCCGCACACACAAGCAAAACAAAACAAGGAATGCATTCACTACTCCCCATGGGCAGGCAGGTGTTCAGCCATCTCCAGGAAAGCAGGGCTCCATCACGTGTAACGTGATTGAGACTTGGGAAGACAAACGCCATCACTCCAAATGTACCCCCCTTCCTTCTTCTTCCCCCAGCTTTATGTGCTGAGCGTGATGTCACATGGTATGGAATATCCCTTTGGTCAGTTGGGGTCAGCTGTCCCAGCTGTGTCCCCTCCCAACTCCTTGTGCCACCCCCAGCCGACTCGCTGATGGGGTGGTGTGAGAAGCAGAACAGGCCTTGACTCTGTGTCAGCACTGCTCAGCAGTAACTAAAACATCCCTGTGTTACCAACACTGTTTCCAGCACAAATCCAAAACATAGCCTCATACTAACTACTAGGAAGAAATTTAACTCTATCCCAGCCAAAACCAGCACACTTCCTTCAAGAAGCATCTAACGTTTGTATCCAGATTTATGAAATGTGCCTTCCAGTACAGGAAGTTTTTTGATAAACAATGAAACTGACACTGGCTTTCTTTGGGTCCTACATCCCCTACACTCCCAGCCATACAACAGTAACCTCAGATTTCCTAATATTTCATTTATTGCAGTGCACCCAAATACTTCTCCAGTGCTTGGAGTTCTCTTTTGCAGTACTTCTGCTCCTTTTCCACTTTACTTAAGTTTCTTGTCTTCATTCCCGTTCCCTGTCCTCACTGCTCTCACCACCTAGGCCTACCAGCCACCCATGTCTTTTCCCTCTGTTCTGGTAAGAGTTAGCAAATGATGTGTCTGGTTTGCAGCCTTGGGCTCCGATTGCCAAGCTCATGAGTTCATCTGGATTGAGCAGCCAGTGGAGGAAACTCACGTTAAGGGCTGACCTCTCTTTGCCATGTGTGTGTGTGTCAGGGGGTGGTGGTGGTAGATGCCACCAAGTGCTGCATTCACTACACGGCTCCTGTTTCTTATTAAAGGTGCACAAACTTAGTATCTCTGTTTTAAATCCAGTAGAAAGTAGCCAAAGAACTCAAAGGCTGACGGCATGAAATTCACTTAGGTTAGGAAAGAGGGTCTCAGGATTCCGCAGGAGGGGAAGAAAGTTTTCCCCACCTTGTTTAGTCTGCCGTAGGGAAAATATCCCCCATTAATTTGAACAGATTTGGTTTTATATGGGTATAGTAGATAGACTTCTGCAGGCATAGTTCAGTGGATTTATAATCACAGAAGGCCGGTGTCTGCTACTTGTGTACTTATAGAAGCCCTTCTTGTTGCCTTAGGCTCAGGGAATCACTGAATGGCTTTAATATTTTCCCTTTTGCATTTTTAATTTAGCATATGAAACCACATTAATGTTAATCTTTTGATTTATAGTTACTCATTTTTTCTTTCTGTTTCTCTATTTTCCCCATAATAAAATCTGGATCGTAGCAAATCATCAGCCTTGTTAATGAAATTTCTTGATCAGGAGTCCGGGAATTCTCTGGGAGCAAGTATTTGCACTCTACCATGTTGTGCTCTAACAGCTTTCGAAAGGGCATGCTGTGAAAGAGCTATGCTTGATGCGGAATAAACAGATGTGCTTTAGCATTTTTTGGAAAGTTGAATGCCTTCAAGAAAGACATATCAATGGCAATTGATAAGCATGGTATTCGCTCTATTTCTGCTAAATAACCTGATTAAATCTGCAATATCAAAATCAAAGTTTAGAAATTCTGTATTCTCTGCCTTTTCCTTTTCATCTTTCAGATGCACTCTTCCTACAAAACTAAAAAAGCAGAAATTACTTACAGAGAATGCAAAGCTTCAACTTTCATATTTTTGGGGGAAGACAACAGTTCCTAAGCTTTGCCCACTACTTGCCATGCTGAAAGTGTCTTCTGGGTAATGAGAGGTACTCATTTCACCGAGAAACTTCCATCAGGTGCTGGAACAAAAATAGCACACACAGTCTTTGGGTTTATAAACACAAAAAAGCAATGAATAGACAACATTACTGTCCTACAGAATTAGTTACTGAACCTGTTTTTGGTGTATATGTTTAAAAGTAGTGTCCCAGACATAAGCTACCAAGGTGATCTCAAGTCTAGAAAATCTGTCTTGAGAAAAGTTAAAGGGTGCAACTTCCATGGCATTTAGGCAGATTTTTTTTTAAAGCTATTCAGTACAGTTGGATTGTTAATAAAGAACTGTTTATACATTTTCAATCCTATGTTTTCAATGAAAGATTGGATCTCTGCCAAAAAACCTGCTTCAGTCAAAACCATCTTTTTATGTTGTGTTTTTGAAATGCCCAAATTATTCATAAATTTTTTAATCTATAACAAACATTTCAATGCTTAATCACACAGCGGTCCAGGGACCTGATTCATCCCAGTGATGAAGCTCGAGTCCTTCCTTCTGCAGCACCATGCGAAGGAGCTCTCCATTCTGTCCTGCCACCAAGGCACCGAGGGATGTCTTGCCTGGTAGGCATTGCCTGTCCGGAGGCTGGGCGCTGAACCTTCTGCTGGGCGTCTGCACAAAACTCCCTCAAGGTATGTCACGATTCCTTGAGACTTACCATTGGCATACTTTCTCTCACCCTGATTTTTTACTTAATGCTGTGACAATACAATTTTACTCTGAAGCCTGCCATTAGATAGAGCAAATATAATTTGCATGCAGCATGCTGAGAGCTACCTAAATGACAGTCCCCTTTTAGATACCCTGTCTGTGTCTGACCCCTCAGAGGATTTAAAGAGCAGAAAGAATTTCTGAGCAAAACAGCTCAGAAAGACTTTTTTTTTTTTTTTAAGTTGCCTTTTATTATTGTAATTGCTAATGCAATTACCACCTTTGAGACATGTTCATGATCCTGGCAGACTCACAAACCATCAGGTCAGAATTCAGTTCTAGCCTACAAATGATAATGTACTAATCTCACGTCTCTGATCTAGCCAGTGCTGCAACATTAACATGGACAGCTGAAGAGGTGTGGCTGGCAAAGTGATGGGTAAAGGTGCAGTTTGTCTAGAAGTGAGTTTTTTAATGTAAAAGGTCAGTTATTTAAAATGGGAAAACACTCGTGCTCCCAGACTGACACTATCCCTTTAATAAAATGGCTTTGTCTCCCACTCAGCCCTGGCTAAGTGCCTGACTATCTTCATTTAAACTTTGGCCAACTAAACAGCAATAATGGACCATAAAGGATCTAGATGCAAGGTAGAGCCATTTACAAGTGGATAGGCTATTTATTTACAGATTGCTTTATTTTTGTAAACAAAACATATTTTTCAGTATGATCTACTGGACATATTTTCTACACTGACAGCTTGTTCAATCCACAATTTGCTTTTTGAATGCCTTCAAAGGTAAGAGACTTAGTTATTTCCGTTCTGTTTTTAGAGGACTGCACTTATTGTGCAGTCTGTGTATATAACTGCTTGATGGACTTGAAGATTTAGGAAGAATGTTTAAATTTAAATATATTGTCTTTGTTATTAATGATATGTAAAATGAATTATTGTAAATTACAGGCATTTTTTGTAAATCAGTTTTAATGGAGTTGTTTTCCCTAGAAATATGTTGAATCACTGACTTAAATGTTGTAATGTTCGTTTTATTAGTGTATACAGTCGTTGTAATAGAATATTGTCTTTATGGAAAATACTGCACGCATTCTGTTACAGCCATGTAACATTAATAATATATTCATGTATTGAATTTCATTACTAAGCCATTGTTTCTTAGAAGAATAAGTTGTTCATACTGCTGCTCCAGACCTAGGTAATATATCTACATCCCAAAACACCCAGATCTTTGTTTATTCCTAACAATTAGGGATTTCTAGAAACAAACTGTATCCTGTGTTCTCTACAATATTCCTGCTAATTTAATATAATTAGTTTAATAGCAAAGTATGTTAATAGCAATACGCATTAGTAACAATTTCTTTAACGCTTCTTTGTTAGAGGGTAAAAGCACTGGCTTTTTTTAAGGAAGAAAAGGAAGCACTGTGTTTGTTCTACCCATATTTCTTCTCTAATAAAACAGGTTCTAATATACATATGCGCTACAGTTGGGCTTGTACTGGCTACTGTGCTTAAATCACCTACCCAGTGTCTTTTTATAATCATTTTTTATATGTTGTCTCTAGAACTGTGCTTCCCACAAATATGTATTCTGTATGTAAAGTATCTGTATTTATTTATTTGCACCTATTAATGAAGTATTCACAGGTGTTTTTTTACTTTTAACAGGAAGGAGAAGTTGTCTAATTTGGGATCAAAGTCACTATGTGGAAAAAACATTTTTTCTTTTGCTTTTTACTTCTGGCTGTGACAACAAACCAGATAGTATATGGGCAAAACAGAAAGAAAGGGAAGAATTCTTATTCTCTCGTGCAAAAAGATGAAGGTAAAACCATTTTCTTAAAATTTCTGATTGACCATGTTGTATGTCTCCGCATATTTCAGGATCGTTAGCTAGTACTTGGCAACTTATGTATGCATTTATAAAGTGTGATTTATTTTGATTATGAGGCCTGGAAAATACTGTGGTGACATTTACTTGGTCGTGAACTCCAGTTTGATCTATGATTTTCATTGACATGCATATGTCTCTTAAGATAAATGATAAGGAGTCCAGGTTTTAGTTTGAAATTGCATGTGGAAAATTTTGTATAGAGAGTCAACTAAAATGCTAAAACAATCCCATCAAGACCCGAATTTGAAAGTTTTTGTCTGTAGACTGTATTTAATAATACTGGTATGAATTAAAGTAACTTAAATTTAGTTACTTGACTTCAGTAGAATTTCTTGGCATTTACAGTGAAATTTATCCTTAGAATTTTTACTGGGAAGACAGAGGAATCCTTGGGGAAATGATTTGAGGATTGGGATTGTTGCAGAGAATTATCTGAAAGTTGTTGTGCAGGTGTGCCCATCATTCATAGATTTAACTTTCTTGTTCCATTACAGGTGATATGTGTCTCGTTGATATAGTCTTTATCTTGGACAGTTCAGAAAGTGCCAAAAATCAGTTGTTTGATTTACAGAAGAATTTTGTTCAAAACTTAACTGACAGTATTTTCCAGATGAAGCCAGTTAAGTCTCAGAAGTATAATGTCAAACTAGCAAGTATACAGTTCAGCAGCACAGTCAGCATTGATCATCCCTTTACAGCCTGGAAAAACGTGCAGAATTTTAAAGAGAAAGTCGAGTCTCTGGGCTTTATTGGCCATGGCACCTACTCCTATTATGCAATTTCCAATGCCACTCAGCTGTTTAAAACTGAGGGTCGTAAGAGAAGTGCGAAAGTGGCTTTTTTGACGACTGATGGTGTGGATCATCCAAACAGCCCTAATATCGAGGGTATAGCCACAACAGCTAGGAGTCTTGGAATACATTTTTTTACCATTGGCCTTTCTAAGAAAAAAGTCCAAGAAGAAAAATTGCGTATGATATCTGGTGATTCATCCTCTAAACATGTCTTATGCCTGGATGATCAGAACCTGATAGTTGATGTAGCATTGGAACTGGTAAGTAATGCTGATATTAATCTTGTCACGTGTTATCCATGTCAGATTTCATTTAGCTTTGATAAGTAAGTCCTGAAGGCAGTGCAGAGGTTTTTGTGGTGCATGTCTCTGCTACATCCAGAGTCAGGACAGAGGGAGCTTCCTCCTCCCAGCCGCTCTCCAAGGAGTTGTGTGCTTGGACAATAATAGCTCAGCTGCACTGATCACTGATGGAGGGACAGGGTATTTCCCAGCACACAGAGTGTGTCTCTGAGCGTATGATAATACTTTAGAAAGTGACTTGTTCTCATGCATAAGGCTGATAAAATCACTGAGTCCTTCCCCTATATATTATGTTAGTAGAGCCTTCCATAGTAAGGCCTTTCATTAGGAAGTCTTTTTATATTCCCCTTGTTAGCATTGGTCCTTAATATTGTCTATTTAGCTGTCCTATTATATCTCATTTGTTTTCTGATCATTATGGGTCACATGAAGTAATCCCCTCTTCCTACCGGAGAACCCTTTTTCATATGAGTAGTTCCACAGACTGGTTCTTACCACTTTGAGGAAAGGATGAAGGTATTCACATTCTTTGCCATTCACCTTGGAAATCCTGTAAACTAGAGAGGAAAAAGGGTTAAATTAGTACTCTGTTAAATTAAATCTATATGAAAGTAATATTTTCCTTTTCTTTTCAGGAAGCCTTGCTTCAGAAGCAGGTAGGTTTTTTGAGTTTTGTGTGTTTTGATTACTCTTATTCATACTAGATCTCCTGATGTCTGCTGCTTCTATAATGCCACAATACTCCAGGATTAATCAGCCTTCCTTCCCTGAGTAAAGTTTCCAACCGTGATTGCTTTTATTTTAACTTCCATCCATTTCTTCCATCCCTTCTGAGAAATCTACAACTTCTGTCCATTAGTGAGTAGTATCAACAGTAAGACATAAAGAACTCTTCTTACCAGAGTGAAACAGGACTAGTACAACACATGCACGTTCATTAGTGGTCTCATTAGAAAACAGTGGCAATGTCAAAATGCTCCAAAAATTATGTAACATTTCACGGTACTATATACTATGTATATGCTACCTTAAACGTTTGTAGTTACAGTAGTAACAGATTTATTTGTTTTTGTTATAAATAAATCAAGCAACTGATTTTTATTGGGCTATACAGAAGTATAAGCCCAATATATATTACCTTATAAGCCCAATTATATATTATCTTATATAATGTTGATTATATAAGAAATATATATGTTAGAAGATCATTTATTTGCTGTTATTCCACTTTTATGTTCTCTAGTCTGTGGCTAGGCAAAAACAGAGTTTATGCTTTAAAAATTTGAAATAATGCCTTTGAAAAATGTTCTCCTTAATGTTTCTGTTAACCTTGTAGTGTATGCGGAAGAACTGTGGGTGTGAAAAGGGAGTAAAAGGAGACAAAGGTGATTCTGTAAGTATGCATTCATTTGAAAAGCCTCCAGAATTTGAATTTTAATCACTGAGATCAGTGTTGCACAGTATTTTAATTGGTTACTGTGTCTGTAAAAAGCAAGACATTAGCTGTGCATGTACTGCAAAAAGAAGTGATGTATCATAGCATATCACTGTGAAAGGCCACTGTTACAGGAGCTCAGAAAAAAATCTATCCATAATCACATACTATCTTGGAAATATATTATTGGGTAATAAAACACTGTGGATAAATAAGTACATGATTTTGAAGCCCAAATCAAAAAGTTATTCTTGAATCTCGCAATGGGGAAGGAAAGGTCCAATAGACAAAGGTTTACTTCCACCAGCAGCTTCTATCTGTGTAAGGGATAAAGGTTCAAAAGACTGAGGGTGATGGTATATATGAAGAAAGGTCTAAAACTCTGCCTCCAACACTCCCTTTGCTCTTTTGACACTTCAACACATAACTGTTTCTTGGCTCTGGTAAAGAAGAGAGAAGTGGGAGTTCAGACAGCGTGTGACCTCTCTGATCCCTTTTGTAGCTTTAATAGCTCCCCCAGAGACAACCAAGGTACGTACAGAGGTTTTTGCCTTTCTCCCTAGACACTAAGCAACTGGTCAACCATATGTGTAGCAGGTTATGACGGCAGGGCCTACCATCCAGTCCCTTGGCTCTGGATAATGTGCATGTGGAACTAAAACCTCTGTTTCCAATTTAAAATGTAACATGCAAGAATTTTAAGTTATTTTATCCAAAATTATTAGATGTAACCTATTATATATGCATTTTTTATATATACACATATACACCAAGATTTCTGGTCCCCACCTTCGTGATCCTCCAAAGAGGAATAATGATGTAGTAATTTTTTATTTTGGGGCTGCTGAATATTGACACTGAGCTGTTCTGTGCACAGGGTTTTTTTAAGCAGAGAAGATAAGATAGTGGTGGGTAACGCTGAAAAATGGGGAGGAGGAACTGTGCATGTTTTCTGTGACACCTTGCTGGTTAGATTTTCAAATGCTCTGTAGAAAATGTATTTATCGTTGAATATTGATTAAAAAAATCACAGATACCTTATAATACCAGATTTTTTTAGCTAAGTGAAAGCAGTGTCACACGTGCCGTACCTGAATCAGTGTGGGTTTCTACCTAAGCTTATTCCAGAATGATTTTGGCCTGCCCCCAAAATATAGTCTTAGAGAAACTGGAGAATTTTATCCTCACAATGGTAATAACATTTTCCTGCTTTGTTTCAGGGCAGTGCTGGTAACAGAGGGGAAAAAGGTGAGCCAGGACCAAAAGGAAACAAGGTAAAGTGAATTTTAAAAAATAAAGCAAATTTCTATCTAGTTTTATTCAAACCATAGAAGTGAATATAGCAAAGGAAAAGTATGTTAAAATATGATTTGAAAGACTGACTTTTTCTATGAGAGGTTTATAGTTAGCTGCTTTAGAAGTGAGAGAGGAATTTGAAACTAAACTGCTACCAATTTAACACTGCCTATCATTCCAGTTTTTCTCTGACTGCAGAGGTCTCTGAATCTAGCTGAAGGCTCTCTGAGCTCCACAGGGCTTTCTAACAGTACACAAATCTCTTGAGCAGAGCGGCTCGCTCTGATGACTAAGATTTCAGTCATCTAATAACAGTAGTTGAGTTTTCTATGTTAATGTTCAGGAATTGTGAGTCCTTGATTGTGGGAGGAAGAAGTGTGGATTGTAAATAGGAGAAGCAACTTCTGCTCCTCAAGCAGTGTTCTTGGTTTTAGTGTAATAGTGATAAATAAAAGAGCAATACATATTTCAGTTGTATTCCTTTGCTTCCAATAGGGCGATGCTCAGAAAGGAGATCATGGAGAAAAAGGTGAAGAGGTATGTGACTACTACAGTGCTAACTCATATTTGGTCTTTTCAGATTATCTTCCAGATCCTGATTCACAGTTTAGTTCCACTGAACTGAAAATGTGTTTTCCATTTTTCACACATCTACTTTATTCAATTATTTAGAGCACTTAAACTAAGTCCTGGTTTAGTGAAGCATCTGTACTGATGTAATTCTTTATTGTTGTTTTTTTTTTTCCTACTTAAATTAGCAGTATGTTACACCTTTGCTTTCTCTTTTATGATTTTTTCCCTTTTTGTTTTAAATTTTCGAATAGGGAGCTCCTGGCTACAAGGGAGACAAGGTAAGATTTTTATAGAATAGAAGTAGTCTGAAAATAGATTGTCACTTGCTGACAGTGTATGTGAAAGAATGGAAAGAAGAGCCTGTCTTGTCTTTTTGTCATGAGAGCTCCTAATGCAATCCCTAGAAGTAAATTCATCATTTATGTAAAAGCTTGCAGACTGGCTTGTTGGAATTAAAAAAAAAAATCAGAAAATGTAATCTAAATATAAAAAGAAAAATGTCAAAGACCAGAAATAAAGCTTCTGGAAGGAAAAAGAAAGTTGAGGGTTGAATAAGAGGTTAAGCATAAAGAATGTGAAATTGTTTACTACAAACACAAATAGATGTGGCAATCATTAGCTTTCAAAAAACTTACTACAAGGAAGTTTACTTTTAAGCTAATTATAACTTGTGAGGGCTAATGCTTGATCAAAAGAAATCTCAAGATAGGCTCTCCAAGAAGCTAAAAAAATTATATACTTCAATGACTTGGAGGATTCTAGAGCCAAAATTTATGTTGCAAACTGGACCATCATAGCCAGAACAGAAACAGAGATAATCCCATTTTGACTTTGCTTGGTTTGGGCACTTATCTCTCTACATTGTTAATAAAAACAGTGCGCCTCTGAATCTTTGTATTCATTAGAAAAATGCTTCAGTCAATTTTATGGAAACATTTCATGGAAGTGGGAAAGGGACCTTTAAAGGTCCCTTCCAACCCAAACTATTCTATGATTCTATGAAAAGTAGACTCGTATGTCTACTTTTCATATGTCTATTGATATGTTAAATCATCAGTGGAACGCATTAGTAATTGTCTTCATTCCATTTGTACAATTTCACAATTGTTATTCAGGAAAATCTCAGACATCACAGTAATGATATCAGAATATAAAGAGGATCTCTGGAGGCAGGTGGAAAAATGCAGCAAAACTTATTAGGTATTAAATGTATTATTATCCTCTTATGATGTAGGTTGGAAATTTTGTAGGCATTCTCAGAGAGAAAAAGTATCTATCTTGAGTAGAGCAGACCGTATCTTTTACAGACCATATCTAACGAGGCCACTCTCAGGTCCTCAGAATCTAGTAAATCTCTTGGGCCACTGAACTGCTTGCAGTCTTTAATGCATGTAGTGTAATCAAAACATCTTGTTTAGCTGTTAACCTTTTGACTTCTTATAAAGGGTGAAAGAGGAGAATGTGG